GAGGGGGGGGAGGACAGGAGAGAAGACAGGGGAGGGGAGAAGAGAGGGGAGAGAACAGGAGAGGAGAAGACAGTGGAGGGGAGGACAGGGGAGGGGAGAAGAGAAGGGAGAGGAGAGGAGACAGGGGAGGGGAGGACAGGGGAGGGGAGGACAGGGGAGGGGAGGAGAGGAGAGGGGAGGGGAGGAGGGGGAGGGGGAGGACAGAACCACACAAGCTTATAGAAGATAACAAGAACCCTATAAAAACAACCAGCTGAGAAGAGAGACTGTAAAAACGTAAACCAGACCCGTTTACCCAGGAGGCTCAGCACGCCTCACTGCCCCGGCTGCAGGGCTGATGCTGACACGATGTCTGCCGTGTGGCCATGGCTGTCTGTGGTTTGTCCCCTTGCTTCCTCTGGTGACCATGAGGAGCACTGCAGTAGAAGAGCTGCCTGCAGAGAGGGTGTCTGAGGCTGGAGGGGTAGTCCGCTCCTCAGCCCCCCAGCGCTCACCACCATTTGCTTGACTTTCCCAGACCACAAGCACCCCAAAGCTTCCTGCTCAGGCCAAGGGGGGCTCCTGCAGATGGTTCCTATGATGCCTGGACTTGGAGAGCACTGAGTGGAACTAATGGTCTCTGAGGAAGATGAACTTGGACTTGGTTTTCACAAAAATTTAATGTGAATTGTTGCAGTTTAGAATGACTAAATGCTGTGAAATAGAACTGTGATGTTTTAGTACAATTCACATTTCACAAAAGGACGATAGGCTGAAAATAAAATGTTTCCTCAGAGACCAGTGCTTGATGTGATCCCAGCTTCTGCAGAGACCATCTGACCACTTGCCAAGAATGTCTGGGTGGTCCAGTTTCATATTACTCCTCCCCAAGAGTGTCTCTATCCAGGTACTCCTTGGCCTCCCACCCGTGTGTCTATCTAGGTGTTCCCTGCCTCCCCAACGTGTGTGCCTATTGAAGTGCTCCTTGTCCTCCCCCTCAGGTGCATCTCTATCCAGGCGCTCTTGTCTCCTCTCCCCAGGTGTCCATGGCTAGGTGCCCCTGCCCCCTTCCAGCTGTCTTTCTATCTGGGCTCCTTGCTCCCTCCTTAGGTATGTACCTATCCAGGTGTTCCTTGTCCACTTTCCCCAAGTGAGTGTCCATCCAGGTGCTCCCTACCCCCCCAAGATGTGTCTCTGTCCAGGTGTTCCCTGTCCTCCCTCCCCAGGTGTGTCTATCCAGAGGCTCCTTGCCCCCCCCCCCCCCGGGCGG